ACTAACGCCCGCGACGGACCCAGGTTCGATTCCGGCCTGAGGTCGAAAAAAAAACGCCCGTTCATCACGTCCATTCGCGACCCACCTATCACATCTCTGCACCCCACCAGTGGGGCGCGCCCCACACTTTGAGAAACGCTGCATTAAGCTGTCTTTGGCTCTTGTCTGCTGTAACAATGTAAATGTATCTCCTTTGGGACTAATAAAGCTGATTCTGATCGCAAAAACCAAGCCAATCCTTTGCTGCGTTCATGGAGCTACGTGGAAGTGGGGAAGGACAACGCTTGATTGCGGATACGTGATTTCAGATTCTAGCACAGTTTATTGCTCTTATACCTTGATTGCTGCCAACTAGGATGCTCAACAGCTTGCTTAACGGAACTTTGATGCTGGTATCAGTTTTGTTTACCACCAATCACGGGAGTATTGTGTATAGAAAGTGTGTAGTTGTATTTCTTGCGCTACCTAACATCCATGAAGGCATCATGACAGAGGGAGGGCTGTCACTCAGGGTGCCAAACTACTCTTTGGTAAGCCCCGCCCCCCGAAGCATATCAGGGTCAAAAGTCTGAAAGCGAAAAAAAAAGATCTGAAAGTGAAAAAAAAGATCTGAAAGTGAAAAACGATCTGAAGGCGAAAAAAAGATTGAAACCTGAAAAAAAAAGATTTGAAACCGAAAAAAAAATTGTTTTGAATCTGAAAACGTAAAATCTGAAACTGAAAAAAACAAGTATTCAAACATCAAAATATGTATAAAAGTGAAATATGAAAATAAATATTTTATTAAAAAAAATTGCTGAACTGAATCAAAATAATATTCAACCTGAACAATTATTTCAAATACTTTTTTTTGTTTTGAATACAACATTGTATTTTTCAAAGTTCAGGATGAAAACTTGGACTTTCAAATAAATTGTATTTTTTTGAATGATCAAAACTTATGACCCTGAAATAGCTCCATAATACAACTACATAACAGTCCGTCAGTGAACACATAAAATAGCACACTCCGTACACTAGGTGGCGGTATAATAAAAGCTGGTCACCAGGGAAACAGAAGGCGGAAGCTGTAGGTCGTCCACACCAGAAGATGGCGCTGTTAGCTTCGACTGTTAGCGCTTCGGTCATCTCTTGATTATACACGTTGACTGTAAACAGCAGCAGCTTTTTAGCATGGATTTCGATGTTGTAGCTTAATGTTTTAGTTTTTAGCTATTTGTTTTTAATGTGTTGTGGTCAGAATGTCGTTGAAACTCATGGCACTAACGTCAGCCAGTGCTAAGCTAAACGTTAGCTGCCAACGGACAGTGTTTAGCTGCTTGACTACTTTGTTGCTGTGTAGTTGATAGGGTAAGATAACTTAATGAACACAATGATAAAGTGTTTGCCTAAAGAGGTTCAGGGGAAACTTCGCTCCGGTGTCGCTCTGCCCTCACTTCAGCAGTGCGTGGAGGAGCTCATCCTGAACAGCATCGATGCCGAAGCTACCTGTGTGGGAGTCAGGATGGACATGGAGGCGTTTAAAGTTCAGGTGATTGACAATGGCGCTGGGATAAACTCCGAGGATATGGATTCCCTGGGAAATCGATATTACACAAGCAAATGCAGCTCTGTTGAAGACCTGGAGAGCCTCAAGTGGTATGGTTTCAGAGGAGAAGCCCTGGCAAGTATAGTTTCTCTCTCCACACTTGTTGAAATCTCTTCCCGGACCAGAGCAACAGTGAAAACTCACGTCAAAATCTTCAAAGATGGCAAAAGCATGGACGTGTTTGAAGGAGAGACTGCTCGACCCGCTGCAGGGACAACTGTTGTCGTTTGTAACTTCCTCCACAACATGCCTGTGCGGAGGAAGAGGATGGATGCTGTTCTGGAGGGTGAGAGGATCAGACACAGGGTGGAGGCTATTTCTCTGATGCACCCCTCAGTGTCTTTCACCCTGAAGAATGACTGCACAGTGGCCATGATGGTGCAGCTTCCTAAAGCTAGAAACACCTACCACAGGTTTGTTCAGATACACAGCCTTGGGAGAGCACAGAAACTTGGAGAAATCAGCTACACAAACGGACAGTTTGAAGTGATTGGTTATATTGGCAGAGAGGGCCACTACAACAACAGTTTACAGTTCCTGTATGTAAACGAGAGGCTGCTCCTCAAAACACGGATACACAAGCTCCTTAATTTTCTCCTACGCAGGCTGAGCAATTCAAACCCAAAAAATGACAGTCCAGATATGCAGTCAGCCGTGAGAAGTCCAAAGACCAAACGGAGCCAAGACCCCCATGGAGTGTACGTCATCAATATGAAATGCTCTTACTCAGAGTATGATATATGCCTTGAGCCTGCTAAAACTCTAATAGAGTTCAAAGATTGGGATGGCGTTTTGCTGTGCATAGAAGAAGCAGTGAAAGCTTTCCTGAGAAAGGAGAACTTGGTGGCCGTGCTTTCTCAAGATGACTTTGACAAAGCACCGGCTGAATTGTTTGGCACTACAGTTGAAGAGGGGCATAACACTGGCAATGTTGGCCAAGCAACAAGCAGTGCTTCCACACTAGATTGCAATATTGGAATGAAACTGGCATCTGATTCTGTCCATCGAAAGCGCCAAGATGACTGTGTATGTGAGGAAGATGTTAGCAGGGACTCTGGTCAGGTGGAGGGCAAAGAAGAGACTGAACAACAAAGGAAGGAAAAGAGAACCGCAAAGCAGTTGGAAAGTGAAGAGGGCATAAATAAAGGTGTTAGATGTGAGCCATCCTGTGATCTAGCTAGACTCAACCCTACATCTGATATTAAGAATAATGTAGAAGAGGAGTCCAGTGAAGCTGGCGAAGGCTCTGACGTTTTTTGTAAGTCAAGTTCAGTCGTAGAGCTAGAGGGTGAAAAGCTGGAACTCTCAAAAGAAAATGACATGTTGATAAACAATACAGACTCAAACGGCAATGAGACTTTACTAGACTGCTTCGCTCCACAAATTCAGCCTGACATGAACTATATTGAGCAAATATTACCTGACTGCCCGGGTACAGGAGGACATCATCACACTTTAGTAAGTAACAGAAAGATCAGTCTGTCCGATCCATATATCCATGAGAATCTGCTGACTCAGGACATGTCACAAAAGTCAGTATTTCAGCAAACACCTGGGCAGATATGTGAAGAGAGATGTACTGCATTAAAACGCAGAATCTCACTGGAAGCAAGGCAGGACAGAACTGGTCAGAAACAAGACTTCACTCATATCATTCGCTCAAAGATTCCCAGGGTTTCAACGTCTCAAAAGTTGTCTTTATGCAAGGATTCTGGATCGCTTGAACGATTCAGAAGAGTGTATGGTGAATCTGATGAACTGAAATTACCCTCTCAGGAGAATGCAAATAGATGTTCTCAGTCCGACGGATTTGTTATGTATTCGCAGAACAATTTGCTTTGCCAGAAAGATCAGCGACATGTTGGAAAAGTGGAAAAAGAGAAAACCAACAGCCCCCTAACACTCTCAGCATTCACCAAGTTAAAACCAGCCTCAGTGCAGAATAGAGGCAAAACATCTTTGGCAACTAAACTCTTCCAATTGAAACACCAGAGGGCAGACCATTCAAAAGTATTACCAAAGGACAAGTGTCTCAGTACTGGTAACGATGACCCCCAAGACGGCAATAACAACGAGCATCACTGTGAAACCGCTCTGAATCCTGAGGCGCTCCCGGTTTGCAGTACACATCCTCTGGCGGCTGAGGGGGAAGAGGCCTCAGGTGACTGGCTCCATCACTACGAAGCATCTGTGGGAAAGACGGTGTACGTCAACAAAGTGACCGGGCTCAGCCGATATGACGACCTGCCTCCTGAAGAAACAACAGTGCGCTGTACGTCTGATGTCACCAACATGGCCGTTAGTGTCATCAATAAAATGGGTGAGCCACTTCTTTGTTCTGTGCATGTGATTTTGACATCATAGTGACTTGAAGTAGCATTTAACATTAACCAAGAATACCACTTCACTGTTCCTTAAACTGTAGGGATGGAGTACAGATGTTACCCTTTTCAGATGGATCTAGTGTTGCCCTTCCTACCTAAATCCAGGACGGAGAGAGTGATTAGTTCAGGGCTTGATGACAGAGGTACAGAGGAGAAAGACAGACTGTAGACATAGGGAGGGATATAGGGAGCCTAAAACTCACACAATATATCGAATGAATGTCTGCTTTTTGTGATCAAGTATTATGTTGTCTGTCTTAACAGGTGCCAATACCGAGAGCTCCAACTCACTGACGACGTTGTACTCAAAATGGAAAAATCCTGTGTTCGTTCGCCCTCCTACGGTAAACAAAGCTTGTGTGTTTAAAAGTTTTGAAAAACTTTTCTTGTATCTGTTTTTTAAAATTTTATTATTATAATACAATGAATAATACAATTCAAGGGCAAATAGACTAAATCAAAACATAGGTGCAAGATATGATATAGAAGTGAAAATAAAAATGGAGACCAGAATAAGATTGAGGAAATGAGAAAAACAAAAGGTTATATTTTTGTGAGCCAATTCATTTAATTAAAAGGGTTTCAGCTGCGGTTTAAATATATTTACATGGTAAAAAGAAAAGCATCTATGCCTTTTTTCTTTCTTGTGAATTTAAATGTTTTGATTAATTTTGAAAAATCTATGTCATTTTGATGCAGTTTTTAACGATGCATTCTGATCTCTCCCGTGCCAACAGGTTGGTGTGGACGTTACGAGCGGACAAGCCGTGGGGCTGGCTGTGAAGATCCACAACATCCTGTTTCCTTACCGCTTCTCTAAGGCCATGATTCACTCAATGAAGGCATGTGTCTCTCGTTGTTCCCTTTTGAATGTTCTGACATTCATTATAAAGTGCTCTTTATAATGCCATTTAACTTTCGTTGATGTAGGAAGTCATTGTTATATATTTACCTCATAGGTTATTCATCAAGTGGATAAGAAGTTTCTTGCATGTCTTATCAATACGAGAGACGAGGAGCCTGCAGCCTTGACTGGAACTGAAGGTAAGGACAGGAGATTCACAGTTTTTTTTTTGTTTTTTTTTTATCAGCATCTCATGGACTTTTTATTTATCCCCAGGAAACCTTTTGGTGCTGGTGGATCAACACGCTGCACACGAGAGAGTTCGACTTGAAAATCTAGTTGCAGGTAAAACAAAAACGCTCCAAGCACAGTTTTAACACGGAGAAAGACATGTCAAATTAGCAATGCTGTTGTTGCAACTCCATCGTGATACCACAGTTTAACTGTATGTCCTGTCATAGATTCTTATGAGGAGGACCCAGATGCACCGGGGCAGAAACGTCTGTGTTCATCAACTATTCTGCCTCCTCTCGAGATCACTGTAACAGAAGAAGAGCTCAGGCTGCTCAGGTGTGTTTGATTATCTGTACAGTACACGAGCAAAGGAAAACTCCTGTTAAACCAGTACACTTACCTAAAGGCAGATACTACCCAATTTGAGAATATAAATATTTTGGTAGAAACATTTTACCCAACACGAACTGAACACTCAGTAGCCTTATTGACGTGGGGGATAGTCAGGCCTCGGGTGTATTAGAAAACATAGGACAATGTCACGTAATAAGAGTATAACCATTTTTAAATGTATTTTGTTACAGGAAAATACATACATTACAACATTTAACAGACATGAGCCTCACACAATGACCTCTAATGTTAGTGAAATTCACTTCAGAAGGCAATTGTCATTCTTCAATTTACAGAATAATCTACACTCTTGCCATTGGCTAAGCTTTAAACGTTTGAAACACACTTTCAATATTGTTGTGGGCTGTTATTTTTTGTTTTGCCCCACCAAGCTTTTCTTGCTCTTAAACGCTTTCTCTTTAAGTATTAAAATAAGCTGAATTCTGAGATGTACAGACAAACTTGACACTTCTTTTGTTCCAAACCTGTTTATTTCATAACATGGACATTATTACATTGGCATGGTTTTATCTCAGTGTTTTTTGTATTGCTTATGTTGGTGAACCTTTGCTCTTCAGATCATGTCAGGGACATTTGCGGAGTCTGGGCCTGGAAGTGAAGTTCTCACAGGTAGCGGAGCCACAAGTGTTTGTTGGGAAGGTACCACTTTGCTTCATGGAAAAGGAGAGTAATGAGCTCAGGCGGGGGAGACCATCTGTTATCAAGACTATTGTTGAGGTAAGAATAATGAAAACCTCTTATCTATTGTTTTATGTTTCCATCCCCTTATGTTAACCTCTTTTTCTGTCATCACTCGACAGGAGTATCTACGAGAGCAAATTGAGGTGAGCTTGGAAATTTCTTTACACCCCCTAGACCTTTTTGTGGGGAGAAACCATCTTGTGCTACTCGATAAATGGTGAATTGTCTTGTTTCTTTTTCTTTGTCTCAGTTACTCCGCTCCACGGGTAGAGTGAGAGGAACTCTGCCTCTCACTGTGCTGAAGGTGCTAGCCTCCCTAGCATGCCATGGTAAAGTCAAATGACTTCTCTCCCTCCTTCTTTTTATTACTTGATGATTCCATAAATGTACCCACTGAAAACGTGTCTATATATATTTGTATTTAACAGGTGCCATCAAATTCAATGACAGCCTGAGTAGAGATGAATGCCACAGTCTGGTGGCCTCCTTGTCCTCCTGCCAGCTGCCCTTCCAGTGTGCCCACGGCCGTCCATCCATTGCTCCCTTAGTGGACACCCTCCATTTGGACAAAGATGAACAGGTACTAAAATGGACTTAACTTACTACTAAATGTACTTTCAAAGGTATTTACAACACAGCTATCTGGTGGTGACGCAGCATTCTTGTCTCCTGCAGGAATTACAGAAACCCAACCTCCAAAAGCTGAGAAGAATGTATAAAGCATGGCAACTTTATGGAAATAGATAAGTGGGTGTGTATTTTATTTGAAATGTGTTGTTTATTGTCAACAACATGAATCATAACTCAGAAAAATTACCTTTTTATTAAATGGCTTAATTTCCCCCCAAAGCACTGCAGCTGTTAACCATTTGTTTTTATACTTAAGCATCTTTGAACTCATAGGAAGACTTTGCTATTTATACATAACATTCTGTCGAAAATGAGCTACAGTTAGCTTCGTAAGTACATAGTTTGAACACCAGTTTGATTTATATACCATGGGGAGCACGAAAAACAATATTCAGAAAATGTATAAAAGCAGAGATATTTTTTTTTTTCAAATGACTTCAAGAATAAACATTGATAAATAGTGTTGCATTATCAGATACACAGAAAAAGGCACATTGTAGCGACTGTGTAAATGTTCCCAAAACAGAATTCCTCCAGCATTCCTCAGGTTGCGCTCCAGAAATAATATTCACTCAATCAACTTCCTGGTCTTGAAAAATCGTCTCAAATAGAAAATCTGCCACAGGGCCATAGCAAGAAAACCGAAGATGGAGATAATGTTGAAGTGCAGCAATCGCGTATGGGTGGACTCTGTTTGAAAAAGAAAAACGCAGTTAAATAAAGTCAAATTTGTTAAATCTTCAGTCAAATGGATAGCTTGAGACAAAACCAACAATTAATCACACAGAGAATAAAACTGCTGCAACCCGGTTTCAAACCCTCAAGCTTGTTCTTCTCCTGGCTTCACCCCAAACAGAGGGTAATTTCCATCTGCTGTTCAAGGCAAAGCACACATTGAAGTAGCCAAAGCAGGAAACTTAAACCCACAGAAAGCTTTGGGAACTTACCTATACACTAAACATATTGCTCTCTTAACTTACTGTTTGTTTGTCTCATTTCTTTCTCTCGTTTCTTCAAGTACTCAAAGTCAAGAGAGAGGTGCTCAAGATATTTTAGCGGGGGTCAGTTTCTCCACTGGTTTAATCTAACAGAGAGGTTACAATGGTTATATGTTTGAGGTTACAACATTTTACATGTATTTATCAGTAGTGGCATGATATCTGACATTAAAGTATTAACATGGTCTCTCACCTCTTCCTCAGTCTTCATTCCCACGCCATGCTTTATGTTCAGTTTGAGCAGTTGGTCTGAAACCGTTCAACTACCTAAAGTCAAGCATTAATGGCATATTGTGTTATTTGTCAGAAAATAATTTGGATTTTGCATCACTTGAGTCACCCCAATCAAGCATGATTGGCTTCCATTGTGGATCACAAATAACTTATAAAGCATTTGTCCATTGGAGTTGGAATACTCCCTCTCCCGCTCTATTTAATGGACAACTTTCTGTATTTCTTTCATACTATTTTAAATCATATATTTTTACAACACCTCACTCACCCATTGAAGATGTGCTATCGAAGCAAACCTCAAAGTGGTCATGATTTTCTGTTATGAATGAAAATGTCCCCTTTGTGGCATTCTCCTTGCTGTACAATGTATCACCATAATTATCGGTGATCTGAGGAAAATGTAGTTGTATTTTTAAACTTGTATTTTTGATATACTTTTATTAAAGTTGTTTAATAAAATAAAAAACAAGAAAAAAACAGTCTAAGTTTGCCATATGTTACACCTGGTGTGACATGTTCACATACCTTCAAATTAGTAATAGTGTTAGGAAGTTGGCTGACTTCGTATTCGCCTGAGACTAGGGATGGGAATTTGAAAGCAAATGTATATTCAAATATTCGACCCCCAAAAAAACAGTTAACCGATTAACCGAAATGTACATATCCTATATAAAATAAAATAAAAATGTGGGAAATGTTTTTACAAACACATATTTTTTATTTTGAAAGATAAATAAATATGTTCAAATAAGTATAGAAACCAAGTCGAATTTGTCAAATGTATTGAACTGGTGATCACAGTTTGAACAGTTGACAGCTATAGGCCTACAGCTTTCATGCTTAAAACATAACTTGGTTTTCTGATGGATTTTGACGTAAACGCGAGTGAAGTATAACCGGACGCGAGAGAGAGAGATCAGCACCTGCAGCTCTGCCCGCTGTGAGAGACCGGTGAGCGGAGCAAAACACACCTTTAGACCTAACACATTTAGCTATGGCACTGTCGTATACATTGAATTATTCCATTTGATATATGTAATCAACTTAGGCACCCCTCCCAATAAAAATTACAATAAAAAAATTACAATAAAAATATTCATAACTCATATTCTCATACCTGAATAATTTCGAATATTCGATTAATCGTTCCCATCCCTACCTGAGACCAGCACATCTTTTTGGATATCTTCTTGTAGACATTTGCTAAAATTGGTCGGCAGTTAGAATGTGATAGAAAACACTCGGTGCAAAAGGACAGGTGTCAGCAGGATAACGCAAAGTCTAGACATGCTGCTTTATTGTGATGAGAGTGAACGATGATGCTGCTGCTGCTGCTGTCAAATTCAGCTCCCTCCCTCCCTTGAGTTCCGGGTCATGCCACGTGACTTCTCCGCCCCCACATGTCCAACCTCTCCTCTTCAACACCTCCTCCCCAAGTAAACAGTTGAGCATCATTTCATTATGACTCTGATCTTTGGAAAGCCAGCCCCGAAGTACTAAGTTTATCCAGAGCTCCGTCTAAAATACGTTTGGTATGTTGTTGAAAATGAAATAGAGAAAGGAAATGTAGTTAGTCTGTTAAATGAGAAAAATTAACGGACTAAACAATTAGTAGGCTACAAATTATATTCGACATTCAATATTTTTGTAATGATCGTGAAAATGCTTCGCGTCGACCTTGAAATGAAACTATGTTTTACAAGATAAAACGAAATCAGTGGATGCTGTTTGACTTTGTATTAACTCTTACATGCTTTAGTATATTTCACTCTTGATTAAATGAATGCACCAGGACATTAAGATTTAATCAGCCTGAAAAATGGTAACAAGGCCTATGCCAATTTATAAATAGACTCACGTTTCTCACCCCACATTGCATTCATAAGCGGCCGATATTTGTGAATGGGAGTGGAAACAGATATTTGGCTTTCGTGTTTTGAAGAGGTTATTTCTGAATCTGAGGAATAATTTAAATGTAGCATACATGGAGTAAATATATAAAAGAATAATGTTTTTAAACAACATTATTTTACCCCGAAATATAGACCTGCGTGGCTGTCAGTGTGACCACCCTCCCCCTCAGCAAGATGGTACAGTCTTGGTTCATTCATAAAATTCTAGCAGAGCATAAAAGGAGGGGCTTGCATTCTAGTCGTCCAGATACCAGGTATATACCTGGAGAAAAGACTCGCGCCGCTCTGCCCAGCCGGAAGGCCAGAGTCATATCTGTCATTGATCCGGACTTGTGTATTTATTTCCTCGTGGTGTATCATAACAACCTGCCATGGATTCAGCCTTCCCCACTTGCCGGACAGAGTCTCCTGTCGGGACGCTCTTCCAGAAGACGCCCGAAGAGGCGAGCTCTCCAGCCTCCTCCTGCTCAGAGAGCAGTGCAAAGGTATGAATGGCTTTGTTGATCATACGTTCAACACGCAGCCCGGCACGCGCACACTTTACAATCAGATTAAACATTTTAAATGTGATCACACACTGAATTATTTTTAATATACACGCGGTGGGGGAGGGGGGGGGCGGGGGGGGGGCTGATTGATACGATTTTATATTAACTGGCTGCGCTACATATATATATTTTATATATATATATATTGTTTACATTTTATGTATATTTGTGCAAGAGATTAGTGCTGACGGAAATGTGAAGATATCGCTGTTGTTCGGGTTGTTATGATTCCGACGTCCTGGGACCAAATGCGAGCGTGTTGATGCAGCGGTTCATTGAGAAAAATAAATCCATTCAGGAGACTCCACAGCATCTCTGCGTCAGTGTTGACGTCAGAAACAATGATAAAGTCAAATATTGATCTGAAGAAGGCTATTTCTGGTTGGCTATGTGTCAAATAGATATAAACCATGCAGGCTCCCCTCTATTCAGACTGATCATATTATTGTAGATGTCATTGATGACTGTCATCACAATAAGATATAAGTATAACACTAACAGCATAGGAATAGATTTATTAAACACATATTTTTCCCTTTTTCAGGATCTCTACCAAGACATGATTGTTGAAGACACTCCATTTGTTCCAACAGTCACTGCAATATCCTCTACCCCTGATTTCCAGTGGATGGTCCAGCCTACGATCATTACATCTGTCTCCCCGACTGGGAGGCAGCAAGCCAATGAAGCACAAAGCTCTCACCAGGCAACACCCAAAGAGGGTGGGAATAAGGGAAAAAATGGTGCCAGAAAGGGGAAAACAGAGCAGGTAGGTTAGCTCAGAGGATGTCCATCAGCCATTGGACAGAATTGTGTAAATTTACATATGCCAATCTGAATTCCTTGTGTGCCTCAGTGCTATTGTACATGATCCTCTTGTGCCGTGTGCTGTCTGTGTGCCTTCCTTAGGCAGTCAATTTATATTCAGGTCACAGCAAGTCTGCAACAATGGTCTATTTTTAGACGCATTGCAGCGAAACATGCTTTTGCCATTCTTTAGAGGGCCAATTCGCAACGGATGTAGCGGATTAGAGGATGATATGGCTGGATTCTTCAAGGTAATAACTGAATTATTTCTCTCTCATCTCAGCTGACTCCAGAGGAGGAAGAGAAAAAAAAGATAAGGAGGGAGAGGAATAAAATGGCTGCAGCAAAGTGTCGCAACAGACGGAGGGAACTCACAGATACGCTGCAAATTGTAAGTAAACAATGATGCATTTACTCAGCTGTGTATGTGTGTTTTTTCAATGTGGATGATTCCTTATGTCGATCTATCTGAAGGAGACAGACCAGCTGGAGGAGGAAAGAGCAACCCTGGAGACGGAGATAGCCAACCTCCTCAAAGAGAAAGAACGTCTTGAGTTTATCCTCGCCACACACAAACCAATGTGCCAGATGTCAGAGGAGTTGGAGTGTATTTTCCAGGAGCCAGCAGAGTCCCCAGAACTATCAGCCATTCCAGATGAGAACAGACTTCCAGAAGATGGCACCCAGGAAGCTCCTTCGCTCCAGGACATGGACATCCCCAGTGATCCGTCCACAGCCATCTCTGGAAACTCCAACATTTTGCTGTGTGAAATCAACATCTGCGATCTGGAGCCCTCTCTGGACATTAAAGAGGGGCTCCTGGAGAACATGTTACCCAGTTTCGAGGAGAGAACCCCCATGGAGACGGCTCGATCGGTGCCAGACATCGATCTGAGCAGTTCTCTCGGGGTCTCGGACTGGGAGACTCTGTACAAGTCTGTTTCCAGCGACCTGGAGCCTCTCAGCACCCCCATAGTGACCTCCACCCCCACCTGCAGCAGCTACCTGTCTGTGTTCACATTCGCTTGTCCCGAGCTGGACTCTCTCACAGAGGGGCTAGGCAGTCATAGAGGCGGAGGAGGCAAGGCTGATTCTGTGGATCTCCTCAACTCCCCTACCCTCCTCGCCTTATAATGCACAGAGGGAAGTGATCTGTGTGATCTCTCTGTTCTTTCTTCTGTTTGCAGGTTCCTGACTTTAAAATAATATGAACAACATATGCCACAGTGTGCTGTAATACTTCGAGGAATACATTCATGAAATGTCTCGTGTTCGACTAAGCAAATATATAAGCTTTTTTCCAGATGCATAACCAACAGAGTGATGTAGCGAAAAAAGCATGGTTTTTACTTTTAAAGCAGGGACTGAAGTAAGTTTTGATTTAAAAAAACGCATGCTGAGAAATTCCAAATATTTTAAAAGCGTATATATATCTGATCTGTTACTAGATCCAAGATGTAATGTGGAATTGAATGTATCAGTATGGTTTTGTGTTTTGGTGTGAACAGTGTATTGATTGCTGTAAATGTTGTATTAACATATTCATCCATGTTAAGTACCTGCATACCTCAACATCATCCACTGTGGTTTGACCTCATTGAAAGTTTTCCATGAAAACATCCAGTGCTATACTATATATCTTATCAAGATGTAACTTATGATTTATTTTTTTACCTTTCAGACTTTTTGGTTACATTTAAGTAAGAATGAGCATTGATTGCTTATCTATGCTGCTGAATAATTACAATAAATCTATATTCAGAGTGGTATTGGCTGCTGGTGTTTGCAATCTGTCCCTAAACAATCAATGACAAGCTGTTGAATGCTAAAATAACAAATCCAAAAAAAATCACAATAATTAAACTCTAAAACAAAACGCATAGTATGCAATGAATATGCAAGGAAGAGTTGTGGTAAGAAAAGTAAACCTCCAGTCTTCCTATAACTTAACAAATAACAAATATTTTGCTTTTGTATTTTGGTATGATCCATTTTGCATGTGTTTTTGTGTTGACTGTATTTTCAGCCCAGGCCCTATTCTGTGGTTGCAGCATGCAGCCTCAGTGTTTCTTTATGGGAGGAGCGGTGCAACTTCCCCACTTCTGCCCCCACTATGTACTTTTTTACATCCCTGCTTACGTTTGGCTGGCATAGCCTAATTTCCGCATTCCCAAATCCTCCCAGATTGGGATCACGTTTAAAACCGGGCTGATGCAACGATTTCCACTTTTTAAAATCTACTCTCGACCATCGGCTGACCAGAAGAGAGGACATTTGTTGCACCTGGGATCAAAGTCAGGTCGGTATTCAAAAGTTTCAAAAAACGGGAGCTGAATGTTTTCTACATACCAACAGGCTCATTGGCGCGCGACGCATAGGTCATCACCAGCACAATTTGTGAACAGGCAGCGAAGGGCTCTGTTTTGTTGTTACAGTAGTTAAACGGTGTTTTTCTGCAGTGTTTTCGGTGTTTAAAGTAGACCTGACGTCTTGTTGAGCATGCTACCGAAAGATATGTTTCTTTTGTGTGCATGCTCCTCTCTTACACAGAACCACGGTGTGCACAATTTGGAACAAAATGTCCTTATTTAGTGATGTCTTTCCTTTACATTGGGGTTTTGCATTGATTCTTAAAATGTGTTTTAATCTGGGGCGAAATCCGGTGTGAAAGAAAAGCTGTTGGGTTTTTATCACTGCAGCTCTGTGATGGGAAGACTAAGTTACGTAAGATAAATGCCGCACTGAAGAAAAACTTCCGCTTTCAATTTGACCAATGGCTTCAGTATGCACGCTGCCTGCAACACACTGAGGGCGACTGAACATAGTGACTGCACATATTCCGAAAATAGCTAAACCTCATATCACTTAACAAACCTGGGGCTGTCATGTAAAAGTACATAGGAGCAAACACATAACATTGATGCAGTTGTATCAGTATTGGCTTCTTGGATCTTCATGGGCAATATATAGTTACCATAGAGAATGTTTAATACAATTGTTCAAAATTATAGCTGCACTGTGGATTATTATACTCAAATTGCCAGCCATTGATCTATGCTTGGGAGTTCTTTGTTGGAAAAATGTGTTAATTTGGCTTGTCTTCATTAATATTTCCAACATTTTTCAAATGCCTGTAACCACAAATGACCTCCTTTTTTGTCATGCACTATTTTTAAGACCCGTGTTCATGTGCCATAAGCATGGCCCGCAGAGTTCTACTTATTGACCTGTAGTTTAGGGAAGTGTGAAAACTGAAAGTAATTCCCATGTAGGATTCTCATGTTCTCTGCATAACTATTTAGTAGATACATCTTTTGGCTTACTCTTCCCTTGTAATTCCCATGGATTTGTCTACACAGGCTGTTTCTGTGGTGATATTTATACCAGATGTTGCCTGTTTATTCGTGTAGTGTCGTCTACAGGTCCGGGAGTAATTTACCTCAGATAGTCGTTTTTGGCTGCATCATGTGCCTTGGAAATTTGCTGAGCTAATTTCCTGAGTCTCTTGTTGGCGTTACTCTGACACCTCTCTCATTGTCTTTGGATATATTTAAATGTTCATGGTCAGCCTTTTCAAACGAGACATTTGCCAGTGATAGCCCTAACATAGTCAAAATGTGTGCTGTGCAAACATTTAAAGTAAACAGTGTCATCTTTAATTTGTTATGTGGTTAAACTAAACAAGCTAAATTTGGGTTTATACTTTACCACATTATGCAGAACTTTGGCAGCCACATTTTGCTCCCTTGAATTAAAGTCTCCTATAGAGGAAAACGCGGCTAACGTGGATTTCTTGGCGAAGGCTATAGCTCTCCTTGGAATAAAGGGGAATTTGTCTGAGTCTGCTTTATACACTGTTGTTCATCCCTCTTTAGGCCGCTGGGAGTACAAGGTAAATTCTTGCCAAGATTTCTGTAAATGGTTGTATATTCACTCGGAAAAAAGAATAAAATAGACTAATGAGAGCAGCCTCAGCATCCGGTTCCTATAACAGACCAGCAATTCATCACAGTAATGTACAGTAACAAGGTCTGACTGCTATATAGAAGCAGTGCACCTCAGGCAAATGCCTCATTGAAGCCATGTTACAGACTGTAGTGACACTTACATGTTTATTTGCTTCTAATTTGTTATTGTAAAATTACTTGTTCTACCCACATACCACAGTATGCCCCAGTTTACCATAACAAGCAGAGCAGACAGAATTGTATTTGTTTTTCATTGATCTGGTTTGGTTTCTGTCTGAATATGTCTTCCATTTTTCCTCTCTGCCTCCTAGCTGTGGTCCCGACCGAGTCTGACGCGATGCCAGGACAGATCCCAGATCCCTCTGTGACAGCAGGCTCCCTGCCCAGCCTGGGCCCCCTGGCTGGGATTTCAGCCACCACACTGACTGACAGGCTCAAATTTGGTGACTTCCAGGAGTACGGTACAATGCTGTCCCCTCTGCACTTCCTGGACAGTCTGGGGAAGAGGCCCATGGTTATCAAAACAGAGGTAAAGGAAACATTGAGAAGCTGACCATGTAAATATAAAAATTACATTTTTGAGTCCTCACTCCTCTTTGAAGACTTTTTTTTTAACTGACTTTTGAACATTTGGGGGATTTAGCCACAGTGACAAAAACAGATGTAACAAATCAAATACAGTAATATCAAATGCATCACAATGATTCTAGCGTAACCAAGTGTAAAATGTGCCTAATATGAAGTGGTGTAAAGTTACTAAGTACTGTACTGTAAGTACAGTTTTAAGGGACTTGTACTTCAAATTGTTGCTACTTTAAACTCCATTAAGACTAGTTGCACCTTTACCAGCTTTGATAACACTTTAATGCATCAATATTTATAATCAAAACATATAATATATATTATTCTGAATAATCTGCATAATGAGTACTTTTACTTTTGGTACTTTAAGTATATATATATGCCAATACTTTTGTACTTTTACTGGATTCGCATTCTGAATCCAGGACTTTTACTTGCAACAGAGTATTCCTGCCCTCGGTACTTCTACTTTCAGTTATGTACAAGATCCGAGTACTTTTCCCACCTCAGCTAATATGTCACAAACAACTTTGCCTGAAGTGAAAGCACCATTTCAAATAAAGCATTGTCATAGCTTAATCAACAGCTCCACCTAGTGGACATAGTGGGACATGATATTGTTGTCAACTACACTTCTTGAGTTTTCCCACCATGTAGAAGTAAAAGTATCAATTTCAAACCGTAATATAAAAACATAGTCATTAGCGTTTAAAGATTAAAATTGAAAATAAGACTAAACTTAGATTGAGTTATTTTTTGTAAAAGTTATACACTCTAACTTAGTAATAGTTATTACATATTTCTACTTCTTTACAGTCATGTTAAACCGTTCAAACATGCATACTGTGACAGTTCTACATCTATGCAAAGCTAGAAGAAAATAGAAAACGTAGGAGTATTTCTATTTTGAATCTTTGTTCTCATTCATAAAGATAGTGAAGAAGGGATAGAGTCAAATGACAAAACAAAGTAGGTGAGACGATATGGTTTTTTATCATTTTGTACACAGGCATTGACAATGTGTCCCAGGTCCATCAATACTTAACATCAAACCTTTTTTCCTGCACTGTTATTCAGAGAGATGAAGAGGTTGACAGGAGGAAACGAAGGCGGGAGAAGAACAAAGTGGCTGCAGCACGATGTCGAAACAAAAAGAAGGAGAGAACGGATTATCTACAACAGGTAAGAGCTGCCAAAACAACATTTTCTACATTTTCCTCATGTTTCCCCGCTTTATTAACATCTTTTCATCTCGTCCTCTCACAGGAATCGGACCGACTAGAGATGTTAAACTCTGACCTTAAAGCCCAGATTGAGGAGCTGAAGCTGGAGCGACAGCAGCTGATCCTCATGCTCAACCGGCACCGCCCCACGTGCATCGTCAGGACAGACAGTGTCAAATCCCCGGAGAGCGAGGCCAACCCTCTGCTGCAGCAGCTGGAGGACAAGTGAAGATGTGACAACTTTGTACAGTTTACAGTTGACGAGAAGCAGCCAACTAGCAGCACTTAGATTTTGGAGATCCAGCCATGGCCTCCCACCCTGTCTCACAGAGCAGTACACCACGAAATGAACACTTTGTTGGCAGTTAAATCAAACTTCATTTTGTTTTTCTCTCTTGCTTTCCCATTTATTTCTTGTTGTGGTCATCTGAGTTCCAGCCACTATCAGTATGAAGTTAAACAAAATGAAATTACCCAACATATTACCTTATCTTTTTGATGGATTTGTACTATATCTCTTCTTTGCTTCAGCCATCACTTCACTTGTAGAGCAACTCTAATTTTAGCAATTCATCTGGTGGTTTATAAATTAACTACTTTTATTTGCTATTTAACAGCCTTATGTTTAGATGCAAGATCCAACTGCTTTTTTCACAGCATTTCAATTACCTGTCCATGTGAGTCAGTAATACAATGCTTAAGTCATTAGGTGACACATGGTTACCTTTTTTTTGTAATGAGGAGTTGCACAACAGTTTGATCTATAGGCCCCAAAGCTTTGCTTTAGTTACAATGCATTCTGGGAATCATAGGACCTTACGTGAAATGCAACTAAGAGGGCAACAAGGTAGGCTTAAACTAAGTTGTTGTTTGCCCCCTCAGTTAAAAAAAATAAGTCTTAATTTTTCTAAAGCATGTAATCACACCCAAACACATTCAGAAGCCTTTTTTCTGCATAATAACTTTCACAATTCATGACAACTTCTGTACTTTCATACATTTGGTGGCATGGCGGATGATCCTTTTCTTTTTTCCTATGTCCTGGCGCAGGCGTCATGTATGCATATATTATATATATGGACTGTTTACATTGTACTTTATTGTATGTTACCATATTGTTACAACCAATTTTATACTTTTGTATATGATGTTATAAGCATATAAGCTATTACAAAATACAATTTTGCATTTTCCATACAAAATAAATGTTTAGTTTGTTTATTACTGTCCTGCAAAATTGAAAACATGTCAAACATGTCTTATATTTTGGGTATCCTTTTCTTGACCAAACTTTAAACGACACCATCGGTTGGCCAGAAGCATTACAATGTGGAGGATTTGCGTTATTAATCTACATATTTGAATGTTTTCCATGCATTTGTTATAGGTTCATTTCTTAACAATTTAAACTTTAGCTAATATGCCTAACACGTTAGGACACGCTGCACTAAGTTTGGTTATATTTATGTGTGAGGTTTCCCTGATCACAATGGATCCTGCAAAAGTAGAGCTGTTATTATATTTAAAATTATACCAGTGGGAAAGATGGTCAAATTTAATCTGTGTCTTATGAAGAAAAGGTATGTGTTTTATGTGTATCTCAGTCAGCACCAGTTTCTCACCTTGCTTTCACCTTTTTATTTTTCTTGAAATCAAATGGAGACTGATAGTGTAGTGAAATGTCATGTTCTTGAGTTTAGATTTCACATATCCTTCCCATTTATTCCATTATGAAAAAATAAAAGTATGTTACAGAAAACGCAAAGGTAGTCATAAAGCACCCATTGTTCTAACCAGGGGATTGAATTAGCAGATTATCAGGGTGAGGATTGAGGGGTTATAAACTAAACAACAATCCTGGTGCAACTTTATAATTCATTACATATTAGGAATAAAATAGCTTACTCTTTTTGTAATACAGCTTTACTGCTGTGATTGGAGATCTACTTATTTTACAACTGTGCTAGTTTTACTTGAAGTACAAAATGAGAGAAAATACGTCTGTCTCCAGGGACAGGAGCGAGCTTGATACGATTGGAAAATGTCCACATTTGGGAGCCGGGGGTCCAGATTGCACAGAGCAAACTAAAAGTAGCATCCTTATTGGTGTGGACACCACGCGTTTGTATAAGAAGCGCTGGGTGATCGTGTTCCTGTTCAGCGCATACTCCCTGAGCAACGCGTACCAATGGATCCAGTACGGGATCATCAGCAACATCCTGATAAAGTTCTACAACGTGGACTCCTTCGCTATCGACTGGCTGTCCATGATCTACATGCTCGGCTACATCCCCTTCATCTTCCCGGTGACCTGGCTCCTGGATAAGAAAGGGCTGCTGGTCACAGCGCTGCTGGCCAACGCGCTCAACTGTTGCGGGGCATGGATCAAAGTGGCCAGTGCCAAACCCAACTTGTTCTGGGTGACCATGCTGGGCCAGGCCGCAAGTTCCCTTTCTCAGGTCTTCATCCTCGGGATGCCCTCCCGCCTGGCCTCGGTCTGGTTCGGCGCGGATGAGGTCTCCACCGCCTGCTCCATTGGAGTTTTTGGGAATCAGGTGAGTTTCTGGAAAGAGTCACTAATACCTCTGAATCATGTTTAATTATGTTTCAAAACCATCAGCATAATAATTATGTTGGCTTTTTAAAATTAAATTACTATAGTCGACCATAACTGGATTGATCTCGAGAGGAATTTGGGCAAATAGTTGACTAAATTATCTATTGATTAGAAACAATAAGTTGTCTCTAATACAAGTTTAATTATGCATTACCTGTCTTTGTTTACATATTGCTGCAAATTACCAAACAAATCTGCAAATATACCGATTAAATGAATGCAGTGAAAGTGAAGGTTTTGATGGCCCCTGTGGGTCAGTGGGCCCCGGAGCAGAAGCTTGACAATACAATCCGCCTGTAGCTCCTTACTGTGCGTTATGGTCTATGTGATAAACATAATAAGGTCATTTGTGGTGTCCAAAACAAATATTAAAGATGGCTAAACGAAGTGCGTGCGCGTGCGTGTGTGTATGTGTGTGTGTTTAACTAAAGCTATCACCCTGCTTTGGCCCTGAGTATGTTTGTGTTTCCCTCCATACAGTTGCCAATAAAAAAAAAGATATAGGTTGTAGTTACTTTCCACCACAAACCAGCTGTTTCAAGGAATCACCATAGGAAAAATACACATTCCAATGTTGTAATCACGGAAGTTGGTCAATATGTTTTGTCACGTCACCAACCAAATCGGTGGTGACGTGCACACCTTCGCCATCTTTTGCTGGAAGCATACTTTATGACAGTGTTGCCGTGCTCCAGGTATGGTAAACAGACGGTTATCTGAACTATTACGTACGGTTAGACGCTAAAATAGTTTAAATTACCAGGCTGTTTGTGTCTTTAACCTACTGCTCATGTTCACATTTCGTCACGTTAGATACGCATGCATGGACCGCGAGAAAGTTAATTCCGAAAGTGTTTCAGATATGAGGCTAGAATTGTTTTACGGCCGGGTTATCTGCTTACGGTAAGCGTTTTATTGCGGTTGTTTTTATCGTTTTAAGGAACGTAACAACGAAGCAATCTCGGTTTGACAACTGTAGGCTACTGTGCCTCCCACTATATCCAGACACTGATCCTGAGTCATTGACAGTATATCGACGTGCCACAGTTTTTCCCTGAGGACGCCTGGGAGTAACGAAGTGAATTCGGGGTTGCAGTTTGAATTTCATGAAAGTCTCAGTTTTGTTTTAGTTTTTCGTTCCAGTTCTCTTTCCATGAATGGAGTTTTCCTCGCAGAGGAAGTGTAGCAGCAGAGAGAAGGACATCGGGGGGAAGTTACTTTTAGGTTGTGCATTCACAGCGTTGTCCGTCACTCAGTTCCACAGACTGTTGGCAGCCACAGGTCAGTTTAGGAGCAGTCAATACAGTCCTGTTTGAATGACAAAAACCATAGACTATCAAATGTTATTTCCTATATTTCTGTGCTATTTTGCCCATATAAGTGACAATTTTTGATTTCGAATCATTAATAAACTCTTTAAATATTTAAATAGAAGATAATTTACCTTCAATAGATTCCATGTCATGTCAGTGACTCAATCACTGCGTAATTGTATTACTAAACTGGAAAACTAGGGCTATTTATATTTTACATTTGTTTATATTGTTGTGAAAGTAAGGCGTTTTCTCTATTGGAAAGTCTTATTTACTTTAAACAGTTTACCTGTTATGTGACCCATTGATTACAATTCAATTCCAGATATTTTTACTACACTGGAAAATGTGTAAAACTCTTTTTAAGGGATTTTAGCGCTTCTTCAAAAGTTGTTGAATATTGTTATAACAATCTGCACTTTGCCTTACATCGCAATAAAACCAAGATGATCTCTCTGACCGTACTACCATATATTCAAACTCACCACCTGCTATAAAGATAGATGATGCAAGGAGTTGTGAATGAGATTTTTTTTTTATCACATGACCCAAAATGTGTTAAAAACCAGAGGTTAGTTTGGTAACTGTTAGCTGATTTCAGAGCTTTCCAAAATTATATTCAAACTGCACCCCAGTTCCACTTCTGCTAATTCAAAAGGACTTGGAAGGAATAATTGCCACAATGGGCAGATCTGGCAAACTTCATGTGATCATCATGTGGTAGGAAGGGCGAGTCAGATAAACTCACGGTTTCTAAAGAGCAACAGACGAGGAGAAATGTTTGCTCTTCCCTCCAGTTGATGAATGCAACAGAAGCCTCAAGGAAAGAGGTTTCATAGGAGCAACATGAGTTCTCAGGATGAATTCCCTCAGGACCTTTGCGATGATGGAGGCCTTGATTGTTCTCAAACAAGAAAACAGAGAACCGGTTTTGTGGAATACAGACAGCTGCCTCTTGACAACAACAGCGACACCTCCGAGATTACGGACATGGACACTGTGCCTATCTTCCCTCTTATGGAGGCCAAGTTGTACAAGCGGCGATGGCTCATGCTATTCATCTTCAGTGCTTACTCCATGAGCAATGCCTTCATGTGGCTGCAGTACAGCATCATAGGCGACATCTTAATGCGGTTTTACAACATTGACTCCGTGGCCACTGACTGGCTCTCCATGATCTTCTTACTCACCTACATCCCCCTCATCCTGCCAGTCATGTGGGTGCTCGACAACCGAGGCATCAGGGACGTAGTGGTGGTGGGCGCAGCCTTCAACTGCATCGGGGCCTGGATCAAGACGGGAACAGCCCACCCAGACATGTTTGCCATGACCCTCTTCGGCCAGTTTGTCTGTTCCATTGCCACAGTTTTTATCCTGGGTATCCCCTCCAGACTCGCATCCCTGTGGTTTGGGCAGCATGAAGTCTCCACCGCCTGTGCCATTGGTGTTCTGGGAAACCAGGTGTGTCTCAGTTTGCTTTTCGTGCTAAAAACATCTTTGGCAGTGTGTGTACGATTTTATGAACTTCTCATATTGGTGTTAAGAGAACTGTATGCGTGTGTCAGTTGCCAGGAGAACATTCAATGAACAGACCTAGAGCAAATGTTTGCCTGGTGTAGCCTCACTGGTGTTTACTTGTGAAGTAAATGATGATTTTCTTTTACAGGGTTAGGGCTTTTTTCATTTAAGTAATTTATCTTAGATTTCAGTTACTTTCTCTCTACATACCTTCAGCATTGTGTAACCATTTCAATTGCATGTTGAGGAAATGGAACTTACATGCACCCAAGCACATTTTTTGCAGAAAAAATAGGGTCTTAAACTCATGAATCATAACAAATGTGCCCCTTATACTTACAATGGACTCTGCCAACAGCTATGTGAAAATTGCTTTCCCAAACAAGAAGTAAGCATAAATAACAGATTGTAGCTATATACTACTCTTAACAAGGAAATATGGCAGCCAATATCAGGCAATAATATTGTGCCCATGAACCGCCTGTTTCTGAACAATCTCGGAGGCTTTGGATAAATTATTAGTAAATTGAGATTATACTGAGTAATCTGTGTCCATGGAAGCTACAGCTAAAAATACTAAAATGTGTATTAAACCTGCTAGGTCACCTGAAGCTTGAAGTAAAGGAAAATCTGGGCATGTCATATCCGTTTCATTTTACAGGAACAAAACGACTTACAGAGATGACACCTCAAGAGGTTTTGCAGTAGAAAGATTTTCCACAAAGGGAAGAATTTGGCTTCATAGATAATTGTAGCTCTAAAAGGTTCTTTCTGTGAAAGCCAATACAAACAAAAAAAGGATACTACACAACCAAAACAGGTTATATATGTATGCCTTGTGATCACAGCAGGATCTTTAAGCCTTTACCTAACATTAACCTTCAAAAGAGGTCGGATCCCTCTTATGAAGTGCACACCGGCCATTGTCCTTTTTATATATACAATCTATGAACTTTATTCCTTTGAATCTGCTTCCTACATCCGATGCTTCCATGCTGTAGTAGTTCACATATCCCCTTGAACATTTACAAATTGTTTACATACAGTGAAGTAAGTTATGACTTCCATAAAGGCCTTTTAAGATCAGACAAATAAACACTGTGTGCCAAAATAAACTTCTTAAGAGGTCCTTGATTTGCAGCATGTGAGAAAAATCTTGTTCTTTACTTTGGACAAGTTTTAGAGACTTACTTTACTTATCCAAAATGCAAAAAGATTTATCGATGCAATGTATTTTCTTTGTTTTAGGTATGTTCATGTATTTGTACATGTAGTTCTCTACATAGCTGACTACCCAGTTACAGTTACAGGTAACAGTTTGAAAATGACCACAAGTTAAATCAACAATTCTTGCTAAGAGTAGCAAAGTTTTAAGTGTATGATATACTATGCTATTTATAAGGGCTGCTACATTCAGAGGACTGAAGGGGATCTGCTATTTTTCTGTGAATACTGTTCACAGATTTGTTTTACTTGGGGAACATGTACCTTTCCCTCTCTTGCTTTTCCCCTAGAGCGGAGGGGCTTCAACTGGTGTCCCCTCTGGAATGTTTTTGAGGCCAGCACTACTCATTGTATTGAAATGTGGAGGTTGTTGGGGGAGGTTGAGTATCTAAAGAAGTCAAACAGATATTGTATCTTCGTGTCCCAAAATATGACCCCTTCCATTAGCTGTACTAAGATATAGTCTTACGTTTTGGAAAATACTCAAAAATGCAACTTAGCTATGCTAAGCTAAGTTAAGTGTCGTGGGACAGCTGTTTTTGTACTACCTCTCCCCCTTTGACATATTTTGAATGTTATTACTACATATAGTTAATGAGTGTATTCGCAATAGCGAGTAGTCATCACTCGCAAAGCTTTTGTTGCATAATTTCTTTCCTCAAGACAGGCTTAAAAAAACTCAAATCTTAACTTTTCTGGATTTTTTTTCTAGTTTTTCTTTATTTCCCACTTTTTTTTAATAATGATCCACATTTCCTGTGTGTTCAGGAGGCAGAAGAACACATGTTTTAATGTTGTGCCTCTCACCTACAGATGGGTATTGCCATTGGGTTCCTGCTCCCGCCCATCCTTGTGCCGAATGTGGACGATGTGGATGAGCTGGCGTACTACATCAGGATCATGTTCTACACCAGCGCAGGGCTGGCCACCGTCATCTTTATCCTCGTGGTCATTGGTAAGAGATCCCACCCACCGGCTCATAGAGGCAGTCAGAGGTGTCAAGGCTCTTTGCCCATTCATCCAATAATGACCCACTGCAAGTCCCTTTCAATGTCATATAACTCCCACAGTCACTTGAGGAAAATAAATGAAAATGTGAAGTCATTGCAGCATTATCAATGACAATCTTTGATGACAGTGTAATGGTATTTTTAGATGACAACTCAGGTGATTCTCTGTAGGGTTTCTGCACCATTAGATTTGAACGTTTAACACACCATTCATTCTTTTATGGTCGAGCTGTAGGGCTCCTCAGGCAGCACTGCTGTCTCCCTGAGATGTGCTTTCTACTGAAAACTCAGCCGCATCACAGTCCGCTGGATGAGCAGCTGCAGTAATTGCTGTAATTGTTAACCTTTTGATGAGATGTGTTCAGACACGGATGTGAAATACATGCAGGCACTCAGGGAGCAATCATCATCTCTGTGAGACTCTCTTTTCACCTCAAACACCGACAGTAAGAAACACATGCTGAAGCTAAATCACAGGATGCACTTTATTATAAGGGAGATGTTTACAGGCTCTATGTGATATTACCAAGCTGGTAAATTGTCAGGGCAAAGCAAATTCAACAGTTGGAACATACCCATGCCGTGTAATGAGAATAATTCTAATAAGGCAACCTACAAAATAGTTTTTTGTATATGAAAAACACATTGATTTACTCTTTATTACCCAGTTATGATAAAAGTGGGCCAATAAAGGCAACCTGCTGAAGTAAAATATGAAATGGTTTATCTTGGTAAATATATACAGACTCCTCTAGTCCTCAAGGAAAATGTTAACCTACCATCAAAATATTAAAACTCTATTAGATTGAAAAGGGCTCCGGGCTGGGATTATGATTACATTTGATTTAACACTTTTGAAAAGGTACAGAATGGTTATCAGTGACAAGGAATTAACACAAAGGTTATTCATTTACTTGGAGAGTGAAATATCTTCTGCTAACAAACAAACAAACACACACACACACACACACACACACACACACACACACACACACACACACACACACACACACACACACACACACTCTCTTATCTACCTCTAAAATGTAACCTTCAGCTTCACTCTGGGCCGTACCTCAGTTGGAAAGACGATGCTATATCAATACAAGTTATTAAAAAAAAAGAATACACAAGTAGCTTCCTAACTTCCTGAAACATTGTGTGTTTGTCTTCCAGTGTTTCAGGAGAAACCAGAGCTCCCCCCCTCCCAGTCGCAGGCTCAGGCCAGGAGCGCCCCCCCCGAGGAGAACTCGTACATGTCCTCTATCTTGAGGCTGCTGCGCAACAAGCCCTTCATGCTCCTGATGGTCTCCTATGGTGGGTCCCTTCCTCTTGCTTTAATCTTTTACTTCCACAAACAAAGCACTAAATACATATTGTCTCAAGAAAGAGGACTGTTGGTCTTTTATTTTCCTCTGATGTTTATCCGAGGCTGCCACTAAGTTCACTCAAACAAAGACCTCATATTTTTGACAAGCTCGCAAATGTTCTGCATTTATCCTTTATTATGATTCCTAAAAAATCAGAATGTTGTGTCTGGTTTACTTACATCACAGTTCCTTACATTACTTAGCTATAATATTCTAACTGTCCAAAAAAACAAATGTGAGCATGCTGTAGGTTCATAGGAAGCTAATCTGAATAGATATCATAAAAATAGTGGCGGAGTAAGTCCAGTTTTTTTTTACAAGAGGCTGTGTCATAATGCTGTCTTGATGATATCATCCCTAACTTCAACATCTTACTGTTATCAAACAGTCAGGTGAGGATAATTAAGGTATTTTAAGATGTCTTCATTTTTTGCTCAACGGTCACTATCTACTGAAAACAAATGTTAATAATTAACCGTGCAATGCATATTGATGTGTTGGTCTGTAAATGTGTACCGCCCTAACAATGGGATTTTAAGGTCATTTTGTGTCTTTTTGCCCCCACGGTTTGATGATTGATAGGTGTGTGGGCTGTCTTTTATTTTGACACACAGAACAATGTTATAATAAACATAAATATACTGTATGTTAAATGGATATATCCGCCTTCTTTCATTTATCTTTCCATTCCCACAACAATATACATAAAGAAATGGCATATTTTGGACATAGTTCGAATGGTGATTAATCATGATTAAAATGTGTAATCGTTTGACAGCACTAGTCATAACCCTTCACTTTATATAAAGTGAAAAGGAAAATGTGCACCAAGGTAAGCTACTGTTCATATTGCCATTGCCTGTTCCGAGATTGCGTCTAAATTCTGACAATAACTGTTGTTCGCACATACAGGATTATCCTATGATAATATGTACCCACGCTGGTGTGACGACGATTATAATAATTAACCTATTTTTGATTCATTGGACATAATGTACTGATAAAGCTAATTCACAAACATCTTCATTAAAAGTTGTTGTTCAGAAAAAACGTATGATTTGATGTGTCTGAATCACTCGAGCCCTTGTTTGCATTGTGGGCGAGTGAATGGTTGTCATCCAATAGATTGTTTTGGGATATTTGAATTGTAATTCCAATGTGTAATATATACAATACATCATGTTTGACATAAGGGGTCCATTGAATAAATGTATTTTCAGAAACACACTACTTGACAAACCTGCTAAGAAGAACAATACTATACAAATACAAAAGAGCATATTTGAGATCAAGCAGGTAAAGGTCTGCAGATACAGAGAGTTTTGGAGCGCCGTTTCAGATCAACTATAACTTCTATTTTGATTTTGGCTGCTTCTGAGCAGCCTACCACACATTTGTAAAGGTGTAAGTAAAAACATTGTTTTTCAAAGTATTATCTATATCACATTAAAGAGAGATGGAAATGTAATAACACTTTAAATTGTGAAAACTCTATCAGACTCATAAACCTCTCGTGTAAAAAGCTTGTTTCATATTTTCTAATCTGCAAGCACCCTCCTAAATGTTGACTTGCAGTTTGCCACTCCCATTCTGGCTTTTATCTTTGGCACAGAGCCATCCCAGCTAGACATTTTTGGTTCTAAAAACATTCTGAGAGTGTTACCATTCATTGTTGTAGGAATGTTTTCAGCGGGAAGTTTTATTTTGTTTCCCAGAATGTTCTTCTGAAAGGTAGGATAACTAGGATAGAAAACATTCTTAAAATGTTTGGTGATAACTTTCTTAAGATGTTTTTGATAAACTTCTTAAGATGTTTTTGATAACATTGTTAGAACATTATGCCCTACTATAGTTTAAGAGTTTTCAGCGGGACGTTTTATTTTGGTTCCTAGAATGTTCTTCTGAAAGGTATGATAACTTTCTCTAAAAATATTCTTAAAATGCTTGGTAATAACCTTTTGATAACATTGTTAGAATATTATGCCCTACTATTCTTATTAGGTTTTCAGCTTCAAGTTTGATTTGTTTATTTATTTTGAGTAGGATAACGTGCTTTATCGTTCTGATTTATCAGAAGTCTTTTCTTTTTCTTTTTTAAATCCGACCAGCAGCTAGTACAAGTTACTGTCGGTGTCACATGTACTGGAGGGGACCCAGAATCAGACTCAGAATAAACTGGTGAAAGTAACATTTGTTTATTAGAAAAGGGGAGCTGGGAGTGGAGGTTGGTTATGGCGGCAGTGGGAAACAGTTGTTCCAGGGTGTGTAGAGAGGCCAGGCTGTTATTGGGAGTATGGAAGGCCTTGGATTCCTCCTGGGAGAGACATACAAATGAGTGTGAGCCAAAGCTGGCAAAGATGTCAAAGAATATGCTGGCAAAAAGCTAGAGCGGCACGCAACAAACTGTTCACGGCAACAAACCGTTCACGGCAACAATCCGGCAGGGAATGAGTGCAGGCTGCAGGCTTTAATAGTATGGCTGATGGGCAGGTTGCAGGTGTGGTTGATTGGAGTTTGCTCCCAGCCGTGTAGAGCAGACCAGCAGGCAGGGGGGTGGGGACACACAATGGAAGCAAACACATACAAACACTAACAGGGGTTTCAGGAACGAGCAGTGACAGTCGGTCCGTTCCTCTATATGTCTGTCGGTCTCAAATCTAAAATAACAATTTTTATCCAATATGTATAAACAGCGGACACTGTTTACTGTATACGCAGCCCTCACAAACCACACATGGCCAGATAGCTTATCCAACAGTTAGAACCTACATACGAGACACCACCTTTATAGTCAGAAAAAAGTGTGATTATTTTCTGATATTTTACACATATGGTATTATGAGTACTGTGGGCCTACATACCTTAGTGTGAATATAAGTGCATGTGAGTGAATATTGGCATGCATACATTAGTTTTTATACGTCCTATTCATTGTCTCAATGCGCTCATACATCTTAAGAAAGTTATCACCAAAAATGTTAAGAATGTTTTTAGAGAACATTATCCTACCTTTCAGAAGAACATTCTGGGAACCAAAATAAAACGTCCCGCTGAAAACGTTTTAAGAACAGTAGGGCATAATGTTGTAACAATGTTATCAACCACATAATAAGAGGTTTATAAANGAAGATTAATATAACATAACTTTATACAGAAGGTAGTCAAAAACTGGTCAAGGTACTGTGTACTCAGATGACGACGAAGTGATGTACAAGATAAAGTATTAGAAATGTCCAGTACAATCGACTAAGGTGTCTGTCGAAACTGTTCCCGACGTCCGGAGTTAGTGCGGCTAAGTCTGGACCACAATCGTCAAATTTTGAGTAAGGTGAGTCCGTGGTGTGGTTGGTGTCGTCGAGTGGTGAAGTGTGGTGTACGTGTGTGTGTGTGCGTTGTGTGTGGTTGGTGTGTAGTGTGTGTGAGTGTATGTGTGTGCTGGAGTGTGTGTTGGGGTGGTGTGTGTGTGTCTTTGTGTGTGTGTGTGTGTGCAGGGACAGCCGGACTCCATTCCGTAGAGAACCGACACTGTTGCTTGGACCTCAGTGGCCCAAACTAGTCTTGTGTGACTATCAGCTGCGCTCAATTATCGATCTATATCGGTACGAAGTCACTTCCTTATCTCTATAGTCACAAAAAAATATAAGAATTCCAGAAACGTGTCAGTTATGGAGCTTGGGTTTGGTGTTCGACGAGCAGTTCAAAAAGAGTACATATGAACAACAATAGGTTTCAGAAACATACCGTAACAAGTGCTATTGTACAAGGAGTGACTACATAAAAGCAATTTTGGTAAATGTTAACGCGTACTATGATTCCACAGAGTACTGTTACGTAGAATATTATACATATATATTATTATATATCTAACACACAAAACCTTCCGTCTTGTCGTACTGTCATCCGCGGATATGGGTTAGTTCTACTGCACTAAATCCAAATAAAATTGTACACAAACACTCAGATATGGTAGCACTGTCGGGAGGACGATAGACAAACTTAGGCACGAGTGTATTCTGAATCTTAAAAATGCAACTAGGATATGAGTAATCATTAGTAACCGTTTCACATAAAGTAAAATTACTTGAGCGAGTAGACGTAACTTGAGGTGCCATTGTAATTTGTATACAAAACTCTGATCTTAGACGTACAGATACAACTGTAGATGTCTATAAGTCAAAAGACTGACAAGTTTGGCGGTTCTGCGCTTTCAATCCCACTATAAAAGACTCTGTCCGTATATACTTGTCGGGAGAACATGTTCCTCTTTTGAACCAGACCAGTAGATGAGAAATTTAATACCGCACTTAAGTTCACATGACGTGAAACTGAACTGAGTAAACCGTCTCGAAACCACTAATACAACAGTTTTAAGTCCTACCGTTTCATTACAAAGAAATTGGCATGGTTTTCTCATACTATGGTAATTTATTTGTCGTCGTTGTTGAACGTATACATTGACAACTAACGTCGTGACGTGGGAGGACGACGGAGGATATTTTCACGTATGTCAATTTCAAGTCACCCGATGAAATTTCGTTCGAAATTTAGTGCCTATTATACTATTCCTTTCGTATTAGAAAACAATTAGTGACAATTAGTACCCCAACCAACCAGAGGCTACTGAAGTTCTACCCAGTCACAACCCAAGTCTACTTAACAAAATTCCAATTGTCCCGAGCCAGACTTTGGACCACCGTCCTGACGCCAAATTACTATACCGTAGTACTGTCTTTACATCACTTTAATTTTAGACCAGTACAGACAATAATTGCCTACTTCCCATTCAATGGCCTGACACCGCCTTACAAGGGGACCCCCGCTTCCCAGAAGAAATCTAAATAGTAGCTTCCTATAAATGTCTATTCACTACTTCCAGGTTAATTGTTACCCCATTCCTATGGACACTCCTTTTGACGGTATGGTAATGACCTTTCCTTTTCTACACGACCCTACGATTTTCACGGTAACTTTTTTTTTTCACCAAACCAACTACTATGTTGTATTCGTCGAGATAGAAAACTGGACGTTTCTGTTCGTCTTTAACGGTAAATACTCAACTTAACATACTCCTAATTTTACTGTGTCGCTCCTTCGTTTTCCGACATATTCCGATGTCTATGTAATGACATCATGTTTATACTAATCGTATTAACAAAACACGTCTAGAATATTACTAACTTTATAACGATAAATACATCTCACGTCAACCTCTTTTCTCTCTGGCCCAGTGAGTCAGAAGTGTAGTACATAAGTGTCGTACGTGTCATACAACTACTATGGCAGAACGTGTTAGGTCACAACGATGACATTTTTGAGGTCAAAGGGGTGGACAAGATAGGTAGCATCAGTCATTAGTTAGCGAGAACAAAAAAGGAGTAATAGGAAAAAAAGG